GCCATTTGGCACTCACACCCCGACGGTCACACCTCGGAAGTCGCACCTCAACGGTCGCACCTAGGCGGTTACACCTCGGCGGTCACACCATGGCCCCTCAGCGGCCACACCTTGGCGGCCCTTCAGCTCAGAGTACCACTACTGTCTCACGTATGGTTATGACCTAATGCTCACCTTGGCACAATCCAAACCTTCAATATCGAGAATCGTCTCGTGCGAGGCCATGACACACCCACTCGTCGTCTACGTCTTGTACAGTGGTGTTTGACACCTGGCCCGCTCACGGACTCATCAGTTCATCTAAAGCACACAACTGTGGGGCACGCACATCTCGTACCCGTGGATAACACAGTACCGAGCTCTCTAGAGCTGAGGCCAATGCCTCCATGCTCTTTGGCCCTCCGCAACCTCTTGAAGGAGTGAAATCGGCATAATAGCTAACGAAAGCCCATCGAAGCCAAGGACAACATCTGCGCAGGCCCGACCAACTCTAATGAGGCCTCGACCGCTCTAGACGACTCTACGTTCTCAAGTTGGGCTATCCTTAGCGACTGGGAAAATGAGACCAGCACTTCCTCGCCCAAAGACTGCTCTCTCCAGCTCGGCTTCAGCCGACGTCCTCGCCATGAAAGGCCACTCAACACCTCCCATAAAGAACGACAATCTCTTCGGCTGAAGCCGAGGTCCTCAGCAAAGACCTCCACCACGGCCTTGAGAGTGGGGGGCAAATGATGTAGTCGCTTTAGGCAGGCCTTTGGCGCATTGACACGTGGCGGAGCTCGGAGCCGGTCAGTGCGTCGTATAGGGCAAAGGTCAGCGTCCAGCACGGAATCAATGGCGCGACCACACGCGGCGGTTGTCAAATGCTTGCCCGCCTGGGGCTAAGCTCGCATCCTGACTATCCGCAGCGTCTGCCATCAGGCAACCTCAAGTATAAATAGAGTGACATTCCCCCAAGGTAAGGGATCTGATCCCAATTTGGAACTTGCATTCCTAATTCTAGCTCTCTAGCTTCTAGGCAACGTCGTCCGAACCCCTCGAACCTCGTTTGCCCTCTTTGCTCCACCCTACTAACTTGATCGCCGGAGTCCCCGCCTCGGGTCCCCAACCCGAGGCCTCTGACGTCCCCTTTCTTTGTAGGCACTAGTCCTCGGGCTTGGCACTTCTCGGATCCCACTAGTCATCGGCCTTGAAACCCCTCGGAGTCCTCGGCCTCAGCACACCTTGGCCTCCGCCAATCTATGGCCTCGGCCTTCCTCGGAACCCGTTGGTCTTCAACCAGACTCCACCTGCCCTCGGCTGCAGTATACCTCGGTTACATGCCCTCGTCCTCAACAGTTCTCAAATCCTTTTAGCCATCTCATCAGGGAAACAAAGTAAATTTAGTGTATTATCCTCAGCCCATTTTGAGCATCAACACAAAACATGTTTATTTGTTACCTAGACCCCATACGTGATCTTTGACTCCAAAGTCCAAACTTCTTAATACCTGTTGAATGAGTTTGTGCAAATGTGCAATGAAATTAATTACCTACGAGTTTCATCAAATACAATTACAATTTCTGCTTTGTAACTTTTATATTTACGTATTACCAAAAAAAAAAAAAAAGAAGGCTTTCATCTTTACGTATCTTCGTAAAAATCATAGTTTTGATATCAAATACTCCCCCAACACGTTTAGGGGGCATTTTCTGGTGTATATGATTTTGCTTTCTAGGAAAACAACATCCACATCAAAACATATTGGCCAACAAATTTGTGGCTGAAAGAAAAGAAAAGAAATGAAAGTAGACAGATTTCAATACCCTCAATTCCATTTCTAATTAACCTCTCAAGCGGCCATGTGAATCAACTAGTAGCAAATTTATGGCTAAAAGAAAGACAGATTTCAATTATAGCTCTGAGTCATGACTTAACAAGAATTTCACTCTTGTTCATCACCCTGGGTTCCATCACAACATTACCACCGAAAGGGTTTTACAGATTGCATGAGTAAAACTCATCTCTCGATATGATTGCAATGCCATAAAATAGCTAATACCCATTGAGAGGTAATTCAACGTAGTGGGAAAAACGAATATATATACTATCAAATTTGGATTCGCACAAAGAATTCTAGTCCACGTATATTTCTTTCTGTTCGTCGTCAGTAGCTCCGTTGTTAGACATTGTCTTCATCTGAATCTTCTCAATGAAATTAAGCATAATTTCAATGCTCTTTTCATCTGGAATAAAATCAAACAAAAAAGGTAAAGAAAAGAACAAAGAACAAAATACCATCCTAATGCAAATATGAATTCAAGAAAATAATAAGTAAGAAATTAAGAAAGATAGAGAGGATGTTAAATTACCGAGTCTTGGCACGGTATGGCCCTTGGGGTGATGAATGACTACAGGATTGACAAATGATTTCAAGAGTCTTTCCCCATGTGGTCTCAAATAATCTTCCTCACCTGAAACAATTCATAGTTCAGAGAAACTCAAAGTTGTCTTTACGATATTTCAAGAATGGCTCTCTTCAAATTTCAATTCGGTACTACGCTAGCGAACTGAGTTGGGATGACCTCAACTCAGTTTGGCTCGACTCGTTTTAATTTTCAAACTAACTAGTGATATATTAACATATGATTTTAGGATTTGAGATCTCCAACAGTTCTCCAAAATCCAAATGAAAAATCTACCTCTATACTACACTTTTGAAATATCATAAAGACCCTAATTTTCTGGAATAATTTTTAAACTAAACAGTAATATATTAAAATATGATTTTAGGAATTGAGATCTCCAACAGTTTCTTGAAAATCCAAATGAAAAATCTATATCTATACTACCCTTTGAAACAAAAAGTATGAATAGAGTCTAAATTTCTGGCTCTTTTTTTTTTTAATATGACCCCTTTTTATGAGGGCAAAAAAATGTAATTTGAATACTATTGATCAATTTATTGAATTCCCTCTCATTAAGTCTCATATTCAAGATATTAACTCCCATTCTCCCTCATTAATCTTATTTTAGGCACCACTAATTAAATCAACACATAGTAGTTTTAATGGTATAAAAACTTATATTTTTAAAAATGAACCCATTAGGCTAGGTGATGGTAAGAGGTTCAACTTTTAGGTCAAATAGGCTATAGTTATAATGTTAAAATTAAATAATAAAATCTCAAAAAAAAGATAAAATAAAAAATACAGAAAATATAAAAATTTTGTAAAAAGATTTTAGCACATCTTCGATGTTATATATTGGTCATATTAAACTAAACAAAAATAAGTATGATAAAAATATACATGAGTTAGATCACAAACGGTGATGACGCAATCCATGGTGTCATAATTAAATAAATAAAAAAAAAATATAGAATATAAAAAATTATAATATATTATAAAAATTAAAAACAATCTAATACTATATATTCATCATATTAAACAAAAAAAAAGCACAATGAACAAGAAATATATTTATTGATAATGAAAATGATAACTTAAAATTGACTAGGAACCAAACCTGTTTCCCCATTTAAGAGGTGGGTTAGTAGTTCAAGTCAAAACGTCAAATAGGTCAATCAATCCATGATTTCATAACGAAATAGAAATATTTTTAAAATAAATAAAAGTACAAAAAACGTATACAATTTTTGGTGTGA